CCTTCGTTTCTCTTTCTCTTCGCGCCGATCGTTTCCAGCGAAAAGATATAGATAGAGGCGGACGGCGACGGCGGATGTTGGGGCTCTCGAGACGCAGCAGGATTCCGAAGCGCGAAAAACATTTCTTGATCGATTTCACTAAGCGACACGCGGTATTACTTTCTCCCCCCTCCTCCTTCTGTCCTTATCATTTATTTGTCTTTCCCGTCAATCTCTTTTCACTTGGAACGCAGGATCGTGGAAAATCGGTTGTCTCGCGCGCGCGTGATGGATGAACCTCGGTGGTCGCGTCGCGAAAACCAGAAATAGAAGTGAAACCCGACGAGACGAACCTGGACGAACCACCACGCCGGTTGCTGGTAATTGATGAGTGGAACGATCGCGCATATTACGCGGCTTACAATCCCGTCCGCGGCGCGATACGCGTGTGCGAGTGTGAGAGCGTTCGCGCGTGAATCGCGGGCTCGTGCCGGAGTTATGTGTAGTATGTTTAGCTTCCTCTCTCACGATTCTCTCCTCGCTCGAGAATCCCTCGGCAACGTATGCTCGTTAAGACGCGTGACAAATTAGAGGAAGCACTTGTTGTGCCCCTCGGCAAACCGAACAGCCGCGGCTAAATAGATTTTAGCATTTTTTCAAAGACGCACTCTCTTACAAGGTACCAGGCGTGTCCCGCGTCCGTACCGTTATCCCGTAGGGTAAACTCGGCGAGGCCATTTCGAGAGGAAGTTAAATCCGTCGGTTGGAGAAATCAACTCTCTTCTCTCGCCGCATCGAGTCGTCGAGGCTTTACGATTATTAAACAACCGACGTGACAAGATAATCGTTTGGTTAAACGTTCCCTTCCGACGACGACGGCAACGCGCATCGCGCAGTCGAAATTATCGCTATGCTATCTTGTTAAGTAATTCTTAACGTTGCGCTGTCCACTCGGGAGGCGCGTCAGCTTGCAATCTCTGTTACTGCGCGATGCGAGAAAGTTCCTTGCGGTGCAATAGATCGCTCCT